CAATCAATGAGCTCATCTTTATTCTCATTAATAAGGAAAATTATCAGCATTAAAGAATAGCAAAAGTCACGCGGTGCGTTCATATTTTCATAAATTTTTAATTGAAGTTGAAAAAAGAGGGATTTTTGTTGTAAGATATCTAATGAAACCGTCGCTCATTCATATTTTCATAAGTTTTTAATTGAAGTTTAGTACATATATTGTCATTTAATTTTTATTTAAAATTCATGATATCTGATAATTCACAATGTTCAAAAGTGTCTAGATTATTACATCACTAAAGGGGTGGTTGGTTATAGAACTTTAATTATTTTACAGTAACAGTGTAAAAATAAAAGTAATGTTGAAAATCACTAATCAACTAGTGGTGGTCTCAATTTTATTGATAATGGTTTAGTGGCGCAGTTTCGTGGTTGATGACCCATTTAACTATAAAAAAATACTATTGGAATTTTATAAATTTTAGGGTTATGGTATTAATTAGGGTGTTTTGAAAAAATTAACACATTTAAGTTTTTGTTCCACAAATAGCATAGCAAGTTTAAATGTTTAATAATAGCATAAATTTAATATCAAGATAATTCAATATCATCTTTTGTTTCTGAACATCTTATTTATTGATCTTGAATAAAGTGGTACAATTTCATACAAGCAGGTGGAGAATTATATATACAACAAAAATTATAATAAGATTTTCCGCTATTGCATAATATTTCGTCTAATGTAAATTATTTAAACACCTGCAAATCGATTGATTCACTATATAATTTTTTAATGAAAAGAACTCAAACATAATATTTTAATTTTTGTTTGTAATTTATTTAAGTTAAACAAGAATTTTCACACAATAATTTGTGTTGCTATTAGAAATCTAAAACTAATGATGGTGTTTTTTATGGTATTTTAGAATATTTTCTATTAAAAATATATTATATGCTCAGAAATGCTCAAGAGAGAATTTAGAAACGAATGATCCAAAACGGTACATCAAATAAAAGATTCTGTCAACTAGGAATTATATTCCAAAAGGAATATTAAAACCAATGGGTTCGTTGAATTTAAGTTTTCTAATTGGTTTAAGCTTAAACAATGGAATATGCTTTACTAAGGAAAGGACTACATTTATGTCGATACTATTTTATTTTGATTCCCATTGTTTTTATTTTTTATTCCCATTGTTATCAAGGAATTAGAAAAAGAAAAAAAAACATTGATTATAGTTCTTTTAATATAGATTATATTAAAAAATATTAATAATATAGATTATATTTATATTAATAAATATTAATATAAACTTATTAAAAATAACAACCTAAAATTTTAAAATGCAATATCAGTAATTTATAGAAAGTGGATAGGGAAAAGTATGTTAATTTAGTTCCGGTACAACTCACGCTTGACAATGACTAAACTATAGATTAAGACGATTTAATCATTAGCTTATATACTGAGTATAAATGTATGGGAAATTAGGCTATATTAGTCTTTTTAAGCATAATTAGGTATCTAATAGTAGATAAAATGTAATTAGGTATGTACAACCATTTTTATCCATTGTCTATTTACCTAAGTTTTTTTCAATTTAACCCTTAAAACGA